AATAAGGTATATATATTTGGATCTGAAGAGGAACAATTACATTTTATAGATATCACTTATTTTTAATATAGTATATTTTAAACGTTCTCACTTTTTACACAAATTCTTTGTATGAGCGCAAATTTTTTTAAACAAACATGGATTTTGATGTGGTGATTGAAATTCCTTCATCCTTAATTAGATGTCTCGATTTGAGTCCTAGGAATGAAAAAATTATTGGTGGGAGCTCCACTCTGATCCCAAAAATGGGTCGTACAATACATAAATTCAAATTTAATTGAATTTGAATATGAGTGTTGAATACGAATGAAAAACCAAAAATAACGTTTTCACTAACTCTTGATTAATTCACTAAAATGATGATTCTTAAAACATAGAAGAAAAGGTTATTTTTGATAAATGAAAAAAAAAAATACTATTACTATTTTTCTTTTCTAATGCTATTTGCTTTTCCTCAACGGATACAAAAATAAATAAAAAATGTGCACAAGACATACGCATTAGATTTAGGTGCAATACAAATTGGAAGCAATAGTATAGGTAGTTAATAAACACCGCCAAATATTATGGTCAGATAAATATAATCTTTTCATATTTAATAAGATATTTCAGGTTTGAATTCTTAAATTAATAAAAAATATATAATAAAAACACTTTTTTTTTACGTGGCACAAATTTAAATTAATTGAGAGCTTAAAGCAAAAACATGATACATAATGAAAACTTAAAAAACATACTCATAGAGGAGAAAAAAAGGAAGAAAGAAGAAGCTATTACTTTCAACAACAACAATAATATATTCAGTGACAGAGTAAAAATTTTCAATAAGGAGGTTCAAAATCTGAAAAAATAGACACATGAAGTAGTCGAAGGGGGTTCGACATCTACTATATATACCTAAAAAATTATTTTAACCATGTATATATTATATAATTTTCCACCGAAGAGGGTTCAGATGAACCCCTAATAGTAAGGCGACTCCGCCACTGAATGTATTCGATGTAATTTCATAAGTATAGTCTAAAAAATATAAATATACGAAGATTCCATCTATAATGTGATAATCAAAATATTATTACTAATAGATCCTCGACTAAAAGAGTGAAGTTGTTCGAAGAAGGACAATTTTTTAATAATCGAATTAAATAGTTGTAAACGAGATTATGACTTGAGGAATTGCTTTTGAACCTAACCCCTTTTGTTGATAGGACTAGAGTTGCTATTTTCAAAGTAAAACTATCATATCCGTTGCCAAAGAAAATGCTTGCTCATATGACACGCATTTAGTACCTTGTTTAGTACTATTTATTTATTGTAATATATTAATATATATTATCATAATTTCTTCATGTTCCCAAGTAAAATTCTTTATTAAATACCTCTTAATTTGCTTAAATCATGTATCAATGCTCCTTTCTGGCCTAACGAATATTGTTGCTTGATGAAGGTTGGTAGAGTATTAAGGTAGCGCTTGATCATAAATTTTTAAATATTTTAAGTAAGTTATTTTTTGTTAATGATGTGATCTCTTGTCCATTTAATATTCATCGAGACATTTCTGTCGATGACCCTCAGTATGAATTGTAACATAAACAATCTTAATTATTTCAGACGATGTCTATAAACTTTTAAAATGTTAAATTTACATGACCTATTAAAACACATTTTTTTACCCTCATTATAAATATTTGTTAATTTCAACATTGTACAAATTTCTTAGAATGATCAAAAGTGAAAACAACACTAAAATTGTTTCACTTTGATTTTGGAATAATAATTTTGCATTATGTCGGTAGAATCTATTCTGGCATTTGATAACTTGAGTAACATCTTCAATTGGAGGAATAAATACAACAGCTAAGTCTTTATAAATTTAGCTATTTTATAGGTATATTTTGAACCTGAGACCTATGATTAAGGAATTAGCAATCACATTCACTGCACTATATTCTTCAGTGATTTAATTTTCATGTATGTTAGTACAATATAATATAGCAGCTCTATATTGTGTCTTGTAACAAAAAGAATGTACCCAAAAATAAAATAATTTCCCCCCCTAAACGACTAGTTTCTAGGATGCTGTGGGTGGTCCCAATGAGAGGGAAAACCTTCAAAGCAAGGTTGAGAAGAAAAAGAATATGGGACCAACATGAGTTGTGGTGTAGGAGTGAAACTGTTTCACTCATAATTAGAGGTCTTGGTTTGAGCCCTGGGTATGGAGAAAATCTTGTTGGGAGTGTCACTCCTGAATGAGCCATACAGTACGCGATTCAAATTTAATCAGGGTTCAAATATGAGCTCCAAACATCGAGCGCAAAACCGAAAAAAGAAAAAGAATATAGGGAGGCTGAAAAAGTCCAATTGTTGCTACAATTTAGGTATGTATGGATGTGTCAACCTCATTTTCAAATTTACTTTCAAACACCTTTGGACAAAAGTGATTGTGGAACCTTTGGGCTATACATCATACACTATTTGGGTGACCTACTTCGAGGGATGGATCTAAAATTTTCACAAAAGATGATTGAAAAGTAAAAGTATAATATTTAAATTTGGACTCTCAAAATAAATTTTAAACGTCTTAATCGTGACTTAATTCTAATTTTATATTCAAGAGATTCAAATATATACCGAAAAAGTTATAAAATACTTTATATAAATATATATATACACACTATAATTTTTTGAGGAGGAAGTTTAGGTGAACCCCTCCTACAACACCCTAGATCTAGCTTTGCCTGCTTCCACAATATCTTGATTAATCCTTATTAAGGGCTTGTTTGATTTCCACGACAAGAGATTATAAATATAGAATTTTGTGATTTTATAAGGAAATATAGAGGGTAGAGTGTAAATTGCTAAATATATTAAATAGAATAAATTACGTAACTAAGTAAACATATACTAGTTAGTTTTTACTAGTCCACATTACACGCACATCACTACTCTCTACTGATCACATCTTATTTCTGATTGTAAATTTTTTATGAATGTTCTATACAACACGAAAATTAAGAATATTTATTAGGAGACCAATCATATAACTGATGTATGAACAAAATTAAACAAAACTAAACCTTTTAACGAACGAGAAGGGAGTATGTATTGACATTTTAACATCATTGTTTGATTTTCTATTGACAAAAAAGTAGGGGGGTGATAGAGGAGACCTTGAAGGTTCCAACCTTCACATGATAAATAAGACAAGATAAATGACAATTTTGGACAGGAAATTTGGTGTGCATCTCTCTTGTCTTCATATTCTTTTCATCTTTTGGACCATATATATATTACTATACTTCTCTAACTAACCATAAATTATTAGTAGCAATCAAAATAAAATTGCTGTACTGTATAACAGCTTAATATGAAATTATGAATTATTATCAGATCCTGTTATTTTCATCATCATATAGTTGTGTCATAACTAGTTTAAGGATCCACAACTAAATAAATTTTAAAATAATAATAATAATAATAAATCTCCATTTGAACTATGTGATATTGAATAAAAATATGTTTTTTTTTTAATCCTATAAAAACAAAGGTGGTTTTTTTTTGTTCAATAAGGGTCAGTTGGTTGATGATTTTAAGGCGAGCTATGCAAATATGAAATTATGCCTAAGTAATATCATATTTGTCAATTGGTTAGATGGTAAATTATTTATATATAGTATTAATACGATGTTAGGTTTGCAATTTAGAAATTTGCGTACTATTACCTATATAAGATATGAGGAAAATCTACATAATATTATTTTATCCAGGATAAAAGGTGGAATAACTAATTTATGAATGATACTAATTTATATGTGTATAACTAATACCTTTTTAAAATAATAATATATAAATTTCCTCATAGCTAAAAAGAAATTAAGACAAATAAATTGACTCAAATAAATACTACTCCCTCCATCTTTTTTTTTATATTCCGTCCCAAAAGAATGTTATCTTATTATAACTAAAAATTATCTTTAAAATTTTCCTATTACCCATAATAATAATAATATCAGATAAAATTAAAGTGAAGAGTAATTAAGAAAAGAATTTGAAAGATAAAAATTTGAGGAGGGATGGAACACGAGAGAAGTGGCACCCATTTTGTTTTATTAAAATTAGAATGGATGCAATAAGTCAATAAGATGCTGTTTGTAGGGAAAAGGACAATATGCGAGCCACGTTGGAAGTAGTAAAAAGCACATAGAAAACCAACTTGAAAGAAGAAAAAAAAGAGTGTGAGAATAACAAGGTCCAATATTGGGACCCAATCTTTGAAATCTGTGACTAATACCCCAGTTTTCCTTCTAAGTAAATAAAAACAAAGACTCCTATTTTTTGTTTAATTTTTCATCATCAATATAATTTCATAAATAGAATCGAAAGAAAATAACGTATATGAATTTCTATGTGCATACAAGTGAAATATATAATTTATAGTAATGAGCAAACAAAACAAGAATAGTACTTGTGTTCCTCTAGTCTAGTGGAGTAGTAGTAAATCACAACCTCTTCTCTCTCTTTCTTTCTTTGTCAGAGAGGTGAAGAAAATTGTTGATAACTCACTTTTATTAATACTACTACTACTTCACTATTGTTTCTCTTTCTAATGGAGTAGTAGCAATAAAATGCAAAAGTGGATTGAAAAAATAAAGATTGCAGCTTTTGTATTTTTTTTGGACATGTCAAAAATTATCTTGGCTAAACAAAGTCTTCTCTTTCACACCTCCCAAACTCCTATCAACTACAGCCCTATAGAGATTGGAGAATCTAGGGTTTGGTCTCTTATTTGTTTTCTTTCTTTGCTCAATGTTATAGCTCTGCTTCCTGCCCTGTTTTCTGTTTGATTGATTAATAACCTTCAGGTTATGTCTTGTTTTTTCTGGTTGATTTTACCTTTCTTGAGTTGAATTTCTCAAGACCCACCCCTTTTGTTTCTTTGTGTTGTATCAATTTGGTTGGTATCTCTTCACTCTTTTCTGTTTCTTGTATCATCTTTTTGTTTTACTTGGTGACATATGGAGGAGATTGAGGAAGCTAACAGGGTTGCAGTTGAGAGTTGTCATAGAGTTATTACTATGTTATCTCAACCTCATGATGAGAAACAGTTTGGAAATTTAGTAAGAGAGACTGGAGAGGCTGTTCACAAGTTCAAGAAAGTGGTGACTCTCTTAAATTCAAATTTGGGTCATGCAAGAGTAAGAAAAGCCAAGAAAATTTCGACCCCTTACCCTCATAGCCTCTTGTTAGAGAACCCAAGTTGTAAAATTGATGATCAGCCTAAACCTCTACAGTTGCTTCCTATCACCTATCCTGAAAATATTAGACTAGAAAATGGTTCTAATGTGAATAGGATTCACCCTTCATTGGAGTTAAACTCGCATAGTAAAAATCCTCTTCAGTTAGCCCAACAAACACCTTTGTCAAGCTATCACTTTGCTCAACAGCAGCAGCAGTTGCAACAGCAACAACAGAGGCGATATCAGCTTCAGCAGCAACAAATGAAACAGCAGGCAGATATGATGTATCGGCGTAGCAATAGTGGGATTAGTTTAAATTTTGATAGCTCTACATGTACTCCAACTATGTCATCAACGAGGTCGTTTATCTCCTCGTTGAGTATTGATGGAAGTGTTGCTAACTTGGATGGTAATGCCTACCATTTTATTGGGGCTTCGCGCTCCGCGGATCAGAGCTCATTTCAACACAAGAAAAGGTGCTCCGGAAGGGGAGAGGAGGGAAGTGTGAAATGTGGAAGCAGTGGCAGATGTCACTGCTCGAAGAAGAGGTTCGTAGTTTAATTTAAGCATCATACAGTTCCTCTTTGATACTTTTATGGTTTACATACTTAAAAAAAGACTTGCTGGATTATGTTTTAACAGGAAGCACAGGGTAAAGAGGTCAATCAAGGTTCCTGCTATAAGTAACAAACTAGCTGATATTCCCCCGGATGAGTATTCTTGGAGAAAATATGGACAGAAACCGATTAAAGGTTCTCCGCACCCCAGGTATTATTCTGGCCTTCCCCGTATAATGCAGCGGTATTAACACTATTGTCTGCAAATTTGAACAGAATTACTACTCATTTGAATTACTAAAGGTTTTGCTGTGATTGCTTCTTAGTGTATTACACGTCTTGTTGTTTATGATGTTGTTTCTACTGCTGTTTTTTGTCTCATAGATATATCTTTCACAAGCCAACGTGCTCATGTTTCCCCCTTTGTTTTGCTTGAATGTATCTTGTTTATCTTACTTGGCTGGTGGAGATAGCAAGTCCCTGGATATTTAACAGATTGGATGATTTATTAGGATTAACTGAATCGGCTTTGTTAACATCTTTGCTAACTGAAAGGGGATGTTGTAATGGTACATTTGTTGATAAAAAATTGCTAAACTAGAGAATGTGAACTGGCTGCTTTGTGTAGTCTTACCTTTCCGTCTAGGATTCTTTGTTCGCTGGTAGCTCCCCGAGGTGTGCAATTTCTATGATTCAAGCAAAACACAGACTCAGCTAAAGTTTTCCTTGGCTTGTACAGGGGATACTATAAGTGTAGCAGCATGAGAGGCTGTCCTGCCAGGAAACATGTCGAGCGATGCTTGGAAGAACCTTCGATGCTTATTGTCACTTACGAAGGAGAACATAACCATCCTAGGTTGCCATCTCAATCGGCAAATGCATGAGATCTTTAGAGAAATGCTAACAAAGATCATCAAAAGCCTCGAGAAATTTCTAATACTCTATTTTTGACCGGCTTCAATTGTTCCTGTACATATTTTGCTTTGAAGTGCAATGCAGATGGGGCCAAATACTAGTTCAAAATTGGGAGGGTCTATTAGGTATTTGGAAAGGCAAATGTAAAGCCAGGTTCAATTAGAATGATGCAGTGAGACTTGAGGTTTCCTAATTGTAAAATTATCCTCATAAAGTATGACTCCCTTTTTGAAAAAAGTTGGGATTTTTGCAAATTATCTTTTGTGCTTATTTAATAATCATACTACTTAGGATGCAGATCTTGGGTTGGACGGTAGATTTGATTTAATCCTACCAACAAGGTAAAAGTTCACATAGCCAATCAACTGAGTTAAACGGCTCCTACGGCCCCTAAAACGGAGGAGCATGATGCAATGATGGTCAGGAAAAGAATAAGAATATAATAGCTGTTTGTAGACGAATTTTAACACTACCTCCTATAGAATCAATGCTCTATTAAGAAACTTATGTCTTGGGCATAGGGAACTAGCTATTGCAGGTTAGTATGTCAATATCAGGAGTGAATCAGGGGTTTGTCCCTTTGATATATATTATATACTTAATAAATGACACATGGTGACTGATGGTTTGCTCTTTTGCCTTAGTTGGGAATAGGAATGATGTGCATTATCTAAGCAACTTTGTTTTGTGCCTTTCAATTCTTCTATAATTAAGATCAACTAGTTGGATTCAAGTTTAAGTTTAGTGTAGGTGTTGGAAATATCTATTCCATTCATAAGGAGTGTTAATTAGCCTGATAGTCCATTAGTTTATTCTCTTTAATAACTCTAATCCTATTGTATAAATTCACCATTATGGGTGTAGTAAAAATATGCAGGGTTAGTGAAACGTTATGCATTTCTCAAGGATATATTTATGCTGTGAATAAAGGAAATTATTTGCGTTCGTAGTCCTGGTTGCTGCAGATCCATTTTCACTATGGAGAAACCCGTAGGTCTTCTGATTGCTACAAATCCGTTTTCACCATGGAAAAATCCTCAAGTCTCCTTACTAGTATTTACTTATTCAAAATACTGAAGTGATATAAAAAATCTACATTAACTGGTAAATATCCGAATAAATAAATAGGATTAAGAGTTGTTAATATTTTTTAATCCCTCCCTAGGACCTCTTAACTCTTTTTGCTACCTTAATAACTCACACTCACGAGCTTAAGATTCAAAAGTGAGAGAATATTCACCATTCGAGAAATTCTCTCTCGTCAAATCGTTAGGCCCACAATTGGATACGTTGTGTTTCCTGTGAAAGGGCATGTGGTACGTCATGTCTCATTATAGTGGAATATGTCAAGCAAAGCACTAGCTAAGAAAAGAGTGCAAGTTAGTGCTTCACAAACTTTTTTTTTTTCATTCGGTGTTCGATATCTACATTGAAATCTAACTAAATTCCAATTCCAAAAAATTCCACATTGAGGATGTAAAATACTCTCTAACAAAAGTGACTTCGTACCCTGAAAAACTCGAATCCTAAACCTCTAGGTAAGGATGAAGCAAATACTTCAGTAACTTGCTTCTCTTTATCTTGTTTCAAACTGCTATGCTTGAGCCCTGATTTGAAAGCTGAATTGGCCATTTGCTAACTTTATCTTAAAATTGAGTCGATAAGACACTATGGCTCCTGCTTTTATTTCCCATTGTTATTATGGAGTCCGTACAGTATGTCAGCCATTCAACATGTATTTTTTTTTCATCTTAAAGTATATCATATATTTATATTGAAGTTTGATTTATTTAAATGTATATTATGTAACATGATTTTTTTCATATTTAAAATTTATACTTGATATCTGTAATTAAGAGTGGACTATCCATGATACCACAATTCTTATTGGTCTTTCGACGTGTATGTTGCTTCCTTTGGTTGGTTAAAGGATTAGACTTCGGCCGTTGCATTAAAAAATTAAAGCTCGTTTGATAGAAAGTATTAGAAAATCTAATACATATATTAGGTATGAGATTTTTTTTCTATTTGATACGATTTTGAGACTATGCATGATTATATTACTAATGTATGAGCTATTATTATAAGAAAACATGGGTAAAGATAGAACTATTCTTAATACACCAAATTAAAAAGTGGATAAGAAATAGTTTTAGCATAATTAATCGTAACATTACTAATACATCATATTTAATAGGGATAAGAGTCTGAAAAATATCTCAACTTTGGTCGGATTTGCTGTTGCGATACTAAACTTTCATAAGGACCTATTACCTCCTTAGACTATTTAATATCATATTTTTTACCCACTGAACTATTTAATAGTGTATTTTAAAGGTATATATGTGCCCACGTGGACACATTATTATTTATAATTTTGCATTATTTTTTATGTCCACGTGGGCAAATATATATGTTTAAAATACGATATTAAATAGTCTAGGGAGGTAATAGGTCCTCATGAAAGTTTAGTATCGCAACAGCTAATCCGACCAAAGTTAGGGTATTTTTCAGACCTTTATCCCTATTTAATACTATTCGTACACACTTTCACGGAGAATAGTTAAACTTGCGCTTGAATATGCGATATGAATCATGATTTCAATTCAACGTTTGGAATCAAAATCATGATTACAAATCAAGATCACAAACCACATTGTCCAAACATTGTAAAATCATGACTTCATATCAGATGTCCACACACACAAACTTAGTTATCAAAATCCCCCTATTCAATTTTTTTTTTTTTTTTGAATTTTTTTCCATTTTATTTAAAAATAAGCATTTGGTTATAAAAGTTTCAAATACCACTTGACTTTTGTTTTCACTTTCACTTTTTCTTTTTATCTCTCTTCAATTTTCTTCTAAATATTTTTATATTTATAACATAACCTTAAAAAAATCATTTTATTAAAACATATATATTCAATTTCTAAATATTTATTATCAAAAGTATAACCAAATATAACTCCAACTCTAACTTTAAATTTTTTAAATAAAGTGTTTTTTTTTAAAAAAAAATTCACTTCCAAACTCCCTGTACAAGCTCAATTATGAATTGATGGATATGGGAGAAATTCCCACCAGGTTAGAGTGATTTTATCGGATTTGGTCCCCTCCAATATATGGTCTGTCCAGTTCCTCAAGTACAACTTTATAATTTTGACACCTGTCCTTTTAATGATCAACTATGTTAAATTTATTTAATTAACCAACAAAGTTAAACCATGGATAAGCACACAAAGCATCATTCAATTTCTGTGATCAATCCATCCCATTTGCATTCATTGTTGTACATAAAATTCTTTTGATCTCCCTATTGAAAACCTTAACTTGACAATTTCTTTGCGGATGATAGGGCGTGACAACTTTGTGTTTGACTCCATATTTACTCAACAATGTCTCAAACATCCGATTACAAAAATGGGAACCTCCATTAGTAATGATAGCTTGGGGAGTTTCGAATTTTGTGAAAATACATTTCTTGAGGAATTAGATTACACTCCTTCCTTCATTCTAGGAAAGGACACCGTCTCTTCCCACTTAGAGACATAGTCAACAACCATCAAAATGTATTTGTTACCATACAAGCTCACAAACGGATCACCTATCAAATCAATGCCCCACACGTCAAACAATTCCACCTGAAGTATGAGAGTAAGAGGCAATTCATAACATCGGGGCACACCCCATGTCTTTGACATTGCATACAAGTTTTGACAAGGAAATTGACATCTTGTTACAACGATGACCAATAAAAACCACTTTGAAGAACTTTTTAAGCCTTTCACATCCCGCTATGGTGTCCACCCACGGGAGACACATGACAAGCCTAAAAAATGGAACTAGTCTCCGCTTCTGGAACACATCTCCAGATCATATGATGTCACCCCCGAGATTACCCCCTAGACGCGACACAATGCTTAGAGCCACGAGTGACCTCAAGCTAACCTCATGACATATCTTGGAAGTAACTAGGGCCATCAAGTTGCAGGCTAATATACCTATAAAATTTTGGGGACATTGTGTCCTGGTTGCAACATATTTGATAAACAGGCTACCTAGTTCAGTTTTAAAGGGTAAAACACCTTTTAGCAAACTCTATGACAAAGAACCTTCATTTCCTCACCTAAAAGTACTAGGGTGTTTATGCTTTGCTAGAGTGCCAAATCAGCATGATAAGCTTGGATCATGATCTAGAATTTTTGTACATATGGAATATTCAGAGGTACAGAAAGGCTATATTTTATATGATTTAACTTATAAAGTATTTTTTGTTAACAGGGATGTAATATTCAATGAAACAATGTTTCCATTTATCAAAGAAAAGACATCAGATCCCATGTTTAAAGATACTCATTCCACTTTAGATCATTCATCTCAATGGTCCAGCATTCCTATTTACCAGTCTGAACAATGTACAAGTGTTGAAGGGAGGTCAAGGACAACAAATGATGAAACTAGAGAGGAATATCAACATAATGGTGAGCTAAGGGTTAGGTTGAATGAAGAACCATTGCATGAGTTAAGGGCTGAGTTGAATGAAGATCCATTGTAGGTATATGTACAACCACCTATTGATAACAATCAACAAAATAGAAAATCTGCAAGAAGCAGTAAACCACCTATTTAGATGAAAGATTTTGTATCTCTCAACATTCATAAGGGTTTAGGCTATAGTATTCAAAACTACATGAGTTCTGATAAGATATCATACAAGTATAATGCCTACATAGCTGCATTTTTAAACAATGTAGAACCAAAGTCTTATGCAAAAGCTGCCACATATCCAAGATTGATAGAAGCTATGAAGTCTGAAATTGAAGCATTGCAAAGCAATCATACTTGGGACATAGTGACTCTTCCTGAGGAAATACTCCAATAGGGGGCAAGTGGATATTCAAAGTAAAATATAAATCCACATGAGAGGTAGAAAGGTTTAAAGCCAGGCTGGTGGCTAAAGGCTACAGCCAACATGAAGGAATTGACTATCAGGAGACATTTTCTCCTGTAGTAAAGATGAAGACTGTTAGGTCTGTGTTGGCATTAACTCATCAAAATTAGTGGCATGTACATCAAATGGATGTATTTAATGCATTCTTGCAAGGGGACTTGTTTGATGAAATATATATGGAAATGCCACAGGGATTCACAAGCCAGGGGGAGAAGCAAATATGCAGACTTGTGAAATCACTATATGGGTTGAAACAATCCCCTAGGCAGTGGAATACTAAATTGTCTGAGGCACTATTGCTGCTAAAGTTTAGACAAAATGATTATGATCAGTCTATGTTCATCAAGAAAGATGAATCTGGAATAATGATTATTTTTGTATATGTGGATGACATGCTAGTTACAGGAGACCGTCTAAAAGTTGTGGAAGAAACAAAACGAAAGTTAAAACATGATTTCAAAATGAAAGACCTTGGAGAACTGAGGTATTTCTTAGGAATTGAGTTTGCCAGGTCTGACCAAGGAATACTTATGCATCAGAGGAAGTACACATTGGAACTTATAGCAGAGGTAGGACTCAACAGTTCCAAACCAGCTTCAACTCCATTGGACGCAAATTTTCAAGTTAACAACCAAGCAGTTTGATGATTACATCAGATCACGAAGCTCAGAAAATTCCAACACAAATGATCCACTAGTAGATCAAGGAGCATACCAAAGACTGATAGGAAAATTGTTGTATCTAACCGTGACAAGACCTGATATAGCATTTGGGGTCAATCTTCAACAACCAAAAAAGTCCAACATGGATGCTGATCTAAGGATTGTGAGGTATGTGAAGAACCAACCTGGTCTAGGAATTCTAATGTCCAACAACAAGAACACTATACTAACAGCTTTATTGTGATTAAGACTGGGCTTCATGTCCACATACTAGTAGGTCAGTAATAGGCTACATAGTCAAGTTTGGTGAATCCTTGATAGCTTGGAAGTCTAAGAAACAAACTACAATATCAAGGAGCTTTGTAGAAGCAGAATACATGAGTATGGCTGCCACAGTGTCAGAGTTAATATGGCTTATAAGTCTGCTAAAAGATTTGGGAGTGAACTTGAAACTACCTGTAGATATCTACTTAGACAACAAGGTTGCTATACAAATTGCAGCTAATCCAGTCTATCACGAAAGAACAAAACACATTGAAATAGATTGTCATTTTATAAGGGAAAAAATAGACAATGGATTGGTGACAACAAGGTACATATCAACAAGAGATCAACCATCAGATTTGCTTACCAAAGGCCTCAATACTGTGCACCATTTATATCTTAATTCCAAGCTAGGGACTTGTAACATTTTCTCACTACCTAGCTTGAGGGGGAGTGTTGAAGGATAAAATAGTAACATCACTAAGCTAGTTAGTTAGTCATCTTAGTGGTTAAGTTAGTTACAACTTCTAATCAAGAAGTTAGTTACACTAAGATTCCCTATTAGCTTTCATTATATATACTTCTGTACCCAAATCAGAAACAAAACACTTGAATGATAATCAATGAGAATTCTCTCTTTCTAATTCTTCTTCTTCTTCTTCTTCTTCTTCTCTTCATTTCATTTCACTAACAAGTTCAGAGTTACTTTTGCAACAAGGGATAGATTAACTATAAATCGTTAAGTATAGGGTTATATCCGATCTTTTTTCCTTTTATTTTTAGTGTGAAAATATGAGAAATAAAAAGAAAGAAACGTGAATGGAAAAAAGAACAAAATAATTTAAGATTGTTCTTTTGAGGCTACATTGTAAGTTATTTTTTTGTATCTACCAAAAAAGGAGGGGAATATATGATAAATTTTATAAGAAGATGAGTGTAGGAATAAATTTGATCATTAAGATAATAAAATTGAATTATTCATAGAATTAAAAAAGGTAAAAAAAAAAAATCTTAGTTGAGAAAGATCAAATGTACCTCTTAACTTTGCGAAAGGATCAAATATACCTCTATGGACTTTTTTTTTTAATAATATATCGAAAACATATAATAAATTTAATTATTTTTTTCACTCCCATTAGACAAATATGGTATATTTGAGCTATTTATGTAATAATAGGACAATATATGAGCCACTTTTGTAACAAATGATATATCAACTCTAAATTCCGAATTTGAGAGATATATCATGCCATTTTTCCTTAATTCTTTTGGGGTCAAGTCTCGTCTATCCTCTTTTAATCGAGTTAGGTAGATATTAGATTAAATATTAAAAATGGTTTAAAAAATTGTGATTTTACTATTAGATAAATAATTATGTGATTTTGATGGAAAAAATTATTCTTGTATGTCCATTTAAGGAATTTAACTTATGATGCAATTTAAATAGAAAATATATAAATGACAAACCATATGTACTAGTATCAAACCAAATCTTCCATTTAAGGAATTTAACTTATGATGCAATTTAAATAGAAAATATATAAATGACAAACCATATGTATTAGTACCAAACCAAATCTTTTGTGAGAGAAAAACAAAACACATTCCAATTCCTATCTTGTCTTCACTTTTCACACTTAGGGTCTGTTTGAAAAGTCATATGATAATAGAAATTGATGTAATTACTAGGATAGTAAATATTAGTATAGTAATTACACAATCTATTAATTACATCGATTTGTTTATTTGCTACACTGTAATTACAATATAATTACACATTTATTGTTTAGATGTATAAATGCAATCATAAGGTTATATTAAATTTGATAATAAAAGTAAATTATTTAAAATTTATATTAGAAAAATAAGAAACTTGATAAATGATATTATATTAAATATTTAAGATATATATTGTATTTTGAAAATATATTAATTAATAAACATAGTTTTAACTTATATTATGAAAAAATAATTGATTTATATTTTTCATATTAGCATATTTCAATTGAATTAATCATAAAAACTAAAAGAACAAAATTTATAAGAACATCTTGAAATGCATGTTTGAAAAGAAGATTAATATTATAAATAAAATGTCATAAATTATTAAAATGTTTGACAAAAAGATAATCTATCAAGTCTTATTGAAAAACAAAAAACTTGCAGTGTGAAGTTTCAAATCAGTGCTACTAAAACAAATGAAACTAAAAATATAACATAGGTTCTAAACTCAAAACAAAAATTTAATATATAGTTTTATGTTAAATTTGAACATAACATTTGTAAATATGATTGAAAAGAATAGGAAAACATAAGTCTATAATCTTACTCAACAATTAATTCTACTTTAATTTAAAAATACTAGCAAAATTATGTTAATGAAATAAATAAACATGGTATAAAAATAGATAATACGAAAAATTGCATAGAATCACATGAAGTAAAGGCTGAGAATGAGAAAGAATAAAATAAAATAATATACAATAATAAAAGAAACTTTTAGAAAATCTTAGAATAATGAAAAATAAAAAAGAATTTATAATAATAGAAATAGAAAATAAATTAAAATGAAAAAATAAAAATGAAAAGAATAATTAAAGAGTAATCAACTTGTAATTACACCATGTAATTATCAACAATTTACAACCCCTTTCTAGGAATTGGAGAGTGTAAGTACACCTGCCAATTACACCAAATTACTTGCCGACCAAGTAATTACATGACCAACCAAACAGGTCAAACAATGTAATTACACCCAATTACACCTAAGCCAATTATCAGGTGTATTTCCAAACAGACCCTTGATATTCTTTAGAGTTTTACCCTATTTTTTTTTATATCAGATTCTATATATCTTTCACATGTACAGTCAACTTGTTTTCTACTATATAAATAGACCAGTTATATTTCTTTTTCTCTATCTCTACTCATCAATCAAAAGGTGTGTAAATTTTTTTATCTTATATATTTCTTTCTCTTTGTTCTATTTTAGTTGTTTCTTATATAAATTGATTGTGTACACAATAAATCAAATAGATTAACACTTGGTTTTTTGTGTTTATTTTGTTATTTTGTTATTTTGTTTTATCAAACAGAAAATTAGCCAAAAAAATGACAGATTCTGGGGAAGAACCTGTTGGAGAATCATCAAATTCCCAAAAAAGATCGAAAAGGCATAGACAACACCACAGACATTCTATGGAACAAATTCAAAGACTTGAAGCGTAAGATCAATTTTTTTTTCTTTAAATATTTTATCCTTCATATATGTTCAATTTTTTTTGTTTGTTCAAAGAGATGATGTTATTTTCTTAAAATGCATGAGTGATAAAATTAAATTTCATTGGCGATAGAATAATTTGTTTTTTTTTTATGTATTTTTTGTGCATTAATTTATATTTATTTTTTATTGATCTTCTTGTGGTGTTTTTTTTTGGTTCCCCACATGTTCATTATATTTAATAAAAGATTTGTACTTTTGATTTCACCTTTCCTTTTTTTTTTTTTTTTGATTGAGTTGCTAAAATGGTTTTGAAATAGTTTGTTTTGATGATTAATCTGTTATGTATATACATCTTTATAAATGAATTGGTTTATTCTTGATTATTCATTAGTAACTTTTGCATAAGGAGATGAGTTTATTTAATTTCAATTTCTTTCTTATTTTTGCACAAAAAAATAATAAACAATGTACTTCTCATGATGTTTGATACCCTTTTGGAGGCGCAACTAATTTAACTTTGTGTCGAGAAACCTCATTTTAGGGCCCAACTAATTCAGATCACATAAAAAAAATTCACTTTAGGGACCGACTAATCTAGATTTGCATTGAAAAGTCCCACTTTAAGACCTGCTTAGTTCACATTCGCATCAGAAAGTTTTACTTTGGGGGATAAACCTCTCCCTATCGATGGTGACAACTCTTGTCCCATGACTCAACACGAGGCCTCTAGTTAAGGATAAAAAAGTACTTACTGCTCCTCAATCTTTGGTGAGTATCTGGTACTTGATCTAGGGCCCGACAAATTCAAATTCAAGTGGGGAATCAAGTCCCATTTTAGGGTTACAACGTTCCTTACCAAGGCTTTAGTTCCAATGCTCGAACTTAAGACCTGATTAATGATGGAGAAATACTTGCCAATCCACCATGTTTCTTTATGAGAGTTTTTTGTTATTTTCATTTTTAGGTTTATTTTATAAAAATGATCAATAATGTTTTTTCTTCGTGAATTTTGAATGAAGATTCTTCAAGAAATGTCCGCATCCAGATGAGGATCAACAAAAACAATTGGGTTGGGAAGCAGGGCTTGACCATAAGCAGGTCAAGTTTTGGTTTCAAAACAAAAGGACTCAAACAAAGGTAATTTTAATTATTTAGTTCTTTTATATATTATCAATTATACTTAATTTATTAGATATTATTATTATTATTATTATTATTATTATTACACAACAACAAATTAATATATTTTTTTCATTAAATGATTTTCCTTTTCTAGATTATTTGATGAATGAAGGAAATCTTGCAATATTAAATAAGACGGATTGAACGTAAGTCTAGGCTAGTCAAATAATCTGTATAAGCAAATGAGCGGATTAATAAATTATTTGGGTTGGGTTAGGCTTAAAATAGACCACAACCCAATTTTCCAACTTCTAACCAAAAATTATTTTTCTTAAATTTTTTTCTCGTTATTTGTTCAAGTAATTTGCTTTTTTAACACGACTATATTTATCACATCTAGGCTAAGAGTATGGTGTTTGATGATGAATTTCATAGAGCTAGTGAACATTCTCAAGAAGAGAAGGAGACCAAATGAATAAGATATAAGGCATGTGATATGGACAGGTATAAGTTGTGGTATTCAGGAGGTGTGAGGAATATGATTAAAGTAGGCTTCTTAGCAGATTGTTGGCTTAGGGAGGAGGTGGTTGAGGTAAGGAGGATGAATGATAGGATGATGACGATTAAGCTAGTCATTGGAGGGTCCACTTTGAACATTGTTAGTCAAATGGGCTTGGACGAGGAGGACTAGAAACTTTTTTGGGAGGATTTGGATGAGGTGGTTCACACACAGAGAAGTCATTCATAGGAGGAGATTTTAATGGTCACATCGGGTCTACTCCAATGGGGTGTAGTGATGAGTATGGAGGTTTCAGTTTCGTGGACAAGAATGCAGAGGAGTCTCACTTATGGATTTTTCAAGAGTTTTTGGGTTGGTGGTAGCCAATTTGAATTTCTCGAAGAAGGAGGAGCACTTTGTAACCTGCCATAGCACGGTAGATAAAACTCAGATAGACTATTTGCTTCTTAGGAATTAAGGAAGATAAAGGTCTTTATAAAAACTGTTGGTTATCCCGAGTGAGAATTTAACGACGTAATATTAACTCCATGTGTTGGATTTTTGCTTGTAAGGGAGAGGAAGAAGAGAATGTGGATGACTGACCGAGGATAAAATGGGGAAGCTTGAATATGGCCAGTGCTCTGGATATGACGGAGAAGTTTTTAGTTGTGGGAGGAGCCACATTATACTAAGGGGGTTCATTTGACTCCCTTTGACGTAAAATTATATTATTTATATACGGTTAAAATAATTTTTTATGTATACATGGTAGACGTTGAACCCCCCTTCGTGTGTCTATTTCTACAAAATTTGAACCCCTTGTTGAAAATCCTGACTCCGCCACTGATGGGAGCTTTGGGCAGTAGTAGTAATGCAGATAATATGTGGTTCAGGGATTCTAGTTAAATTTGGGTGAGTTGAGTAAATTAAATTTTCATGGACTAGTTTTTTCACCCATGTAAAAATTCTTTAAAATATATATTTTATAGGAGGAAGAAAGTGTATGTTGTTCAATATTAGAATGGAAATTTAAACTTTTAAGCAAAGATGGACCGAAAAAATAATTTTCACGCATTATAAAAAAGGCTAAGTAGCATTTTTGGTCCTTCAATTATTATCATATTCTAATTTTGATACTAGTAATATCTTTCTCAGTACATAAATCTTCAATTAATTGGAATGTGCACTATTGATTCCTTTGTTTGTGAATATTCACAAATTTAACATAATGAATATTAATTGTACAATTATTTAATTACCTATGTGTTATGTTAAATTTGTATTGTTAATCCATATGTGATTAATTTGTTATATATATTTCATCAGACTCAAAATGAGAAATCCGTTAATAATGCTCTTCGAAAAGAAAATGAAAGATTTCTTTGTGAGAATAAAGCAATGAAAGAGGCAATGAAGAATATTATGTGCCCAAAATGTGATGGACTGCCCATTGGAAAAGAAGAAAGGGAACGCAATTTAGAAAATATGAAAATGGAAAATCAATGGTTGAAAGAACAGGTAAACCATCTATTTATCCTATTTATTTTACTTTATTTTATTTTTGTTGTTAATTTATTTATTTATCTTGAAAAGAATTACTTATATATAACAAAAGACAAGGAAAATTCATGGTTTGAACTCGATGGACTAATCTTGGCTTTAAGGTATTAGCATATAACATATAATTTGAAATGAAGGGGTCAGATCTATTATATTCGTTGAAATTTTAGTCCGTTCTTACATATACATGTCTATATTCCATCTTATAGTTATATATTAAGGTGGACGAATCATAAGCACCGGGTTCATTTGAATCTCGTATTTTTACGTGAGGCATAGATACATGTAAAAAAATTACTAAAATTTAAACAAATGTTCTATTTGGATCCATAACTTTATAAATATAACGAATGAAGCGTTAGAAGTCTAGGGTTGTGATGGTATGATAAGATTCATCTACATTTAACCAAGGGTCTTAGGTTTGAGCTCTGGTACAAAAAAATCTTAATAGGAAGTGCTTCTCTTTTTAATGCGATTTACATGATGCTAATCCGAACTAGTGGAGGCCCGAATGTGAGTACTGAAAACTAGGTGAAAAATCCTCGCAAAAGTGTTAAATACCTAAAATGGCCTAACTCAGCATGTTTATATCTTGGATTTGTTTCTGCCCCGTGCTTATGAGTTGCATCCTCCCTTGACAAGAGAGATTATCTTGATGTCACAATTAATTAATTTATTGAAAGAATTTAAATTATATACACTAATAACAAATTATACACTTCTTCTCCTTTTTAGGTTCTCAAATTATGTTTATTATAGATACTTACCTATTATTGTAAGTAATTAACTTAACAATTTTTTTTTGCAGTATGAAAAAGTATCAAATCTCATCTCAAGTGTTGTTGGAAGGCCTTTTGTGATGGATTCAAATTTGGCACCACCAAAACCAACTCTTGGATCATCTTCAAATTCATCTGATGGAAGTTTGTTGAACCAAAACATATGTGGCTCTCCCATTAGATATCCTCCTCTTCGTCAAGAAAACAATCATAATAATAATAATGATGTTCAAGCACATTCAATAAATATTAATAATATCCCAGTAATGTCTCCATCACCACAAGAACATGATGAATTTCATCATGATAACAGGCAGAAAACAATTACGTTTGAGACTGTTGTTGCTTCTATGAATGAAATGGTTGAACTTTTGAAAATGAATGATCCAATTTGGGTAGATTCATCAAGTGATGTGAGGTCTTTAATTCATCGTGAGGGTTATGAAAGACCATTTCCAAATCAAGTTCAACCTTACCAAACATCAAATGCTCGAATTGAATCATCAAAGGATTGTGGAATTGTGTCAATGACTGCAATTGAGTTGATCGATAATTTTCTTGATCCAGTAAGTTTCTTCAACGCTTTCATGTTATAATTATTCAGTTTTACAAGTTATGTATATATATATACATGCATATCTCTTATATGCTTAGTATATTAAAGGTTGGGCGTGCTAGTTGGTTTGAGAATTCGTTGAAAACCTACCTTTTTTTATGTGGAAACATACCATGCCAGTATCATGGATTTTGAAGTAGAGCAAGTGAGAGATCTAAGATACTGTCATGATTTTTTGAAATCTAACACATTGTCATGAATTCCAAAAATTGGCTATTTCTCAATAGGCTGATACCGTTTTATTTTTTAATTTTCTCCCATACAATATTGATTAAGATGACTTTATATGAAATGATGGACAATGAGTACTTATTTTGAGACATAGTTACCATTGTTATTGTTTAATAATTAATCATATACTTAAAAATGATTGATTTGTATATGTAGGTCAAATGGATGAACTTGTTTCCTACTATAGTCACAAAAGCTAGGACTATTAAAGTTCTTGATTCTGGTACTTGGAGAGGCTCTATACAATTGGTAAAACATTAATCCATCTTTTAGATGTTGTTCCCCTAGAAATTAAATAAATATTAAAATTGACTCATAAAATGATCTAATTTTTTCTTGGTTCTTGAGTACAGATGTATGAAAAGTTGCATATTTTATCTCCTCTAGTTGAAGCTAGAGATTTTTTCTTCATACGTTGTTGTAGACAACTTGATCCAACAACATGGATCATGATGGATGTTTCATATGATATATTCAATGAGATTCAAAGCGGTGTACCTTCTTATTCTTGGAAGTTCCCTTCTGGTTGTGCAATTCAAGATATGGGCAATGGACAAAGTAAGGTAAGAATCATTTCCTCTCTCTATATCACTATTTATATAAAAGGAAAACTATGTGCATTAAGCTCCCTATATACATGGGGTCCATATTACTAGGGTCTATTATATGTAGTCTTATTCTGCATTTGTGCATGAGGTTGTTTCCACAACTCAAATGGGTAACATATAAATCACTTTATATATGTAGCTTATTTTCCAAAGGGTATGTTACATATGTAAAAATTTACTCGTACTGATGCCTATTTCATGATTTCTATTGTTCCTAATATGATATAAGAATCAAACTATCTTTATTCTCGATTTATTCAATTTTGGATCCTCATGTTATGTTGTTAATTTATGCTCCAAATGATCAGCTTTGGGACGTGCATTGGGGGCTGTTTAAGTGTTCCCGTATTGGTTTAGAAAATGATCTTTATGTCCGTGTATAGCCTTGGAAAATCCCCGACCACAACCTAATAAGTTTTATTTTAGGATTGAGTTAGATCCAATAACCATCCTTTTAACATGCTATCATAGTTGCTAGTCTTCATATAACAAAGTTGAACTCCGGCCATACTATGTTGTTCATGTCCCAAATGTTTGAATCTAAACGAGTGAGGATTTATTTTTCTCCTCACATGGTCCTGATCAATCCTTGCCTTGTGACATCCATTGCTAAACACAAATTTCCAACATGCTTTCCTCAATATTTTTCACCAAGTTAATTATTTTTATTTTGGTTTCTTGATTATTTTTACTCTTGCAGGTTACTTGGGTGGAGCATGTTCAAGTATATGAAAAATATCAGGTTAATCGTATCTTTAGAAATTTATTGTGTGGTCGTGAAACATACGGAGCTAAAAGATGGATTGTTACACTTCAAAGGATGTCTGAGAGATATAATTTTGCCATTGGTGCAACATGCCCTACTAGGCATGATTTCAAAGGAGGTTTGATTTTATATTCCCTTTTTATTTATTTACTACTTTTTTGAATTTTATTTACAAGGTGAGAAAAGGATCAATTGCAAAATTTTCATCACTTCAAGGCAACTTTAATTAAAAATTAAAAAATTCGAAGGGGGTCCAAATCTATCCCTTTTCTTTGTTTATATGTTTGAAATATGACCTTTTAAAAGTTTTTTTTTTCATCTTTAAGGTATGTTTGACACGAAATATATATATATATATATATATATATATATATATATATATATATATATATATATATATTAAAGTGAACATGCTCTTCTTAAAAAGTGAAATTTTGTTTTGCTACTAGTGAGATTCAAATACACAAACATTTTAAATTGTATGTCTTTACTCTTTCAAGACACCTGAAACCATTGGGCTACATCATATTATTGTGTCAAGGGTGTCCAAAATATGTAATTGAGCCACTTTATTTATCATTTTACTTGTATATATAGTATAATTTTTCGACAATTGAACACCCTGACATAAGGATAGCTACGCCACTGTATATATAAAATACGTATTTTTTCCATGTTTGACCAATGGAAATGTTTTTTTTTTGTCTAAATGGGCCCGGAAAATGATCACTCCTTTTATTTCGGAAGCCATTTTTCTTTACAATTTTCTCAATTTTTTACTTGAAACATCTCCTTTTCAAACTTTCCTTTTTTCCCTTAGGGGTGTGTTTGGTATGATTTATTTTTTTTCAAAAAAATAGTCATCTTTTGATGTTTATTGACTGGCCAAAAAAATATTTTTTAGAGAAAATATTTTCCAATCAAAGGAGCAGGAAAAATAACCACTTCTGTCATTTTCCGAGGAAAGTCATTTCCTTCGCAATCATCTCAACTTTGAACATTATATCATATGCTTTAACGACACTCGGACATTATTATCACCTTTAACATGTAAAAATCTCATCAAAATACTTTCCGGTTTATTAATATATTTATCAATCTTCAATAGAAGTTTTTTTTTCTAGAAAATATATTTAGTATTTTCCAAACAAAATCACAAAATAAAAATAGATTTCCTAAAATAAATTATTTTCCAAAAAAACAAAAACACACCCTTATCTTGTTTCCTTATTAGTATTGTTATAATTACTTTCCAAATATTTTATTCTTCGATTTTAGTATTACATGTTGTCTCCTTTATATCCATATGTATTTGCTTTTCATATTTGAATTTGGATATACTTTAGAGGATCTATCAAAAGCAATCTCTCTACCTTCTCATGATAGGCCCACCCTTTGCAAGCAGAGGCGAATTTAGGATTTTTCGAACATGGGTGCACCAAGTAAAAATATATTGAAGTGGAAATTAATCCTTAATCCTCAAGGTCAAAAGCTCAACATTTAACCATGTGGACCATTTAGACTTCTCGTAGTACGGGTGCAAGAATATGATATTATACAAATTTAGAAAATATATACATAAAATATCTAATTTTACGAAGAAACCACGGGCGCAGATGCCCTATTTTTTGGCTCTAAATTCGCCACTGTTTGCAAGCTTCACTTGTGGAATTATACTAGATATATATATATGTTGTTGTAATATTTAAATTTCATTTTATTTTCAGTGTTTCATGATCCAGAAGGGCTGAAAAATACGATACAAGTATCTCAAAGGATGGTGAAGAGTTTTTTTGAAATCCTAAGCATGACAGACAAATTAGATTTTCCAACTTCATCACAGTTAAACCGTGGAGATAGTATTTCAATAAGAAAAAATGAAGAAATTACCCAACCAAAAGGCTTTATTGCCATTGCCGCTACTTCTCTATGGCTTCCTTTTTCATTCCAAGATGTCTTCAATTTTTTCAAAGACGACAAGACAAGAAGTCAGGTATGTATCAAACCTCTTTATAATAATGTTAATTGTTTAGATAATTTTCTTAGTTGTTATAGCGAAATGTTATTATAGAGAACATAATAATATAATATGATATTGATATTGGTTCCTAATAAAACTTTGATTCTACATTGAATTGGTCGAGGGTATTTCGAAAACAGTCTCTCTCTTCCTTCGAGAGACAACTGTACGATTTGTGTACATTCTACCCTCTCTGGGTTCCACATTGTGGGACTACACATGATATATTGTAGTTAAAGTCTATAATAGGTGAAATGTTATAGGGAATGATTGTCATAAAAAGGAATGATTGCATATATCTTTGCATTGATATTAAATTTTTAATGCTATGAGCCAAACATCTGATAAAAAAGTAATTTTCACATTTTCAATCCTTGTATAACTTGTTAACCAAATGACCCCTAAAAATACCCATATAGAAATTGACTTTTTTTTCAATTCATGTATAGATTTTTATGTAAAACTCTCAAATGTTTCAATAAATATCATAATTTTAAAATTAAAATAGGATGAGATCAGTGTTAAGAATTTTTGAAACCATTAAGTTAAAGTCCCGAATTTGATTGATTTGCTAATATTATGTTCCCATGTTATTAGGGGTGTGCATATGTCAGTTTGGTTCGGTTTGATATATTTTCGGTTTTGTTTCTTGATTTTTAAATACGCTAAATAAAAAATTAAACCAATGAGATATTTTTAATCAATTTTGGTCCTTAACAGTTCGATTTTCAATTTAACCAATAAGAAAATGATTATAAAATATATGACTTCTCCAATAATTTAATTGACGCGATAAGATAATAATGTAACTGTATAAATACTCATAAGATATAAACAATAATAACTAAAGAACTAGACAAGTGTTACACCAAGAGAAATTAAGAGGGATAAGGTTCTTATTTTAGGTTTAGACATTTTATACAATGTGAAATTATGAACTCAAAGTCACCATGGAATGTGAATTGAAGGCTAAAGGGCAAAGACAATAACTAGTAAGGTGTTGAGATTAATATTTAATATTTATGTATGAGTAAAGTTGTAAATTACTATAGTCTTAATGGGGTATTGATTTACCCAATAACCCAATATTAAAAATCAATACCAAACTGATAACCCGATAATTCTTTTTTTATAAAATCATTAAAAATCCGTTAACCCAATAGTAAAAAATCAATAACACTTTTTCGATTCGATTTATCGGCCGATTTAGTTTTTGCACACCCCTACTTGTTATATTATCTACAATCTACATGTTTTGCTAGTCTGGGCATTGATTGTACATATATTGTTTTAAATATATGATCTTAAATAATACTCACCCCACAAACTAATATTTTGACAATTAAATTATGATATTGTTTATCATTTGATTTTTTTTTTCAGTGGGATATTTTGACTGGTGGAAATAATATGATTGAGTTAGATCGAGTACTGACAGGAACTTTTCCAGGAAATAACATTACAATTATTCAGGTATTTATCATATTTATTTATTATGGTTTGCTATTTCAGAATAAATTATCAAGTAATAATGACATTTTACCAGAATCAAATAATATTACTTATGTATCTTTTTTTCACATGCAAAAATACCAAAATCTCTAAACTTGTATCTTTTTTTCCTTTAGACTTTTTGTTCTTTAATTATTGAATCAAAAGGAATTTTCTACGGTCCAATTTTACTTTTGACTTGTAGCAATTAATAATTAAAACACACACAAAAATAAAGACTAACTTTTCTCGCGTTTAATTTATATACACTGATAATTTGAAAATCTTCTCTACATTATCATCATAGCTTAGCCATTTATAGCAAATTGTTGTTTGTCTCATTTTCTATATTAATAATTCCACTTGTTTTTTTTCGGTGATCCAGTAATTACCTTTGACTTTCTTTTAGGTGAACTAATAATGCTAAATATATTTCAATACAAAAAAGAACAAGAATTAACAATGAAATTCCTTGTTAATCTATTGTTAAATAACCTATAGCTAACAAGATTATTTTATAATCCTTCACTAATTCAATATTAAATAGGATTAGCTGTGGAATTTTTATTGTTTAGCAACATAACTTATTCGTCGCTTATTGTTTTAGTATTTACCCTAATATTTCTTAATTGTTGTAATGTATATATAGCCATATAATATGCATAAGGAAATGCTAATGCTTGAAGAGACAAGCATTGATGAAATGGGAGCATTTTTAGTCTATGCACCCATAGAGTTACGAGCAATCAATTCAATTGTCAATGGAGGTGATGCAACAAAAGTTCCCATTTTGCCCTCTGGTATCATCATAAGTCCCGATGGTCGGCTCTCCTCGAATAGGGACGACGCTGCAAATGCACAAAATGGTTCAATTTTGACAGTGGCTTTTCAAATATTGATTTGTGGTAATAATAATCCAACCTCCAAGCAGCAACAAATGGAGGTAGTGGCTTCTGTTCATGGCGTTTTGAGCGCCACAATTTTAAAAATCAAAGCAGCATTGGGTTGCTCTGATTTATGATGGTTTAAGTTCATGTTGTTTGTTTGTTTGTTTTGAATATTTTAAAACTTAGACAATTGATGGTTTTGAAGGATGATGTGTTCCCTTCTTTGTGACTATTGAAATCTCAAGACTGTGAGATATGTGTTGCTGCAATTATCTTTTATATTGATACACTTATTTGAGACTTCTCATTTGTTTGATTTTTTTCAATTTTAGCATGTTTGGTTTTCTCTGATCATTATTTTTTATCTGTCATGTTACAATATCATACCTTCCTGATTTTGCAAGTTAAATTTAGTGGAGTAGTGTATATATAGTATCCATGTGTGGATGATTTATATATTGTGAACACGGATAGCCCAGACGCTACCCAAGTTTGTTGGGTCTAGGGCTAAACCATGAAGAGACTCAAGAATTAGACATCCCAACAATAGATTTACTTGAGATCTAGGTTGAGCACCCACTCTATTTATAGGTGGTGATGGAAGGATCGGATCTAGTGGAGGATATTTACTATTCTACTCTAGAATGTTCCTCCAACTGCATAATTCTATAACTATCCATTCTAGATTATTTCTATATTTTTCTCTTAGGAACACTCATTCTAGATATCTCCCTTCATTTCTTTACTACTTTAAATATTCTAGATACTTCTATGGCATGTCATAGATATTAATTAAGCTTCTCATCCTCCATTCTTATCTTTATTCCTAGTTACTTGTTATTTTAGTTGTTTCCATTGTAATTCAATAGTTTAAGTGTTGCCATTGTAATCTGGTTACGAGTGATTATACACTACTTGAGTATTTCTGTTGGAAATTCTAGTTTGTTACATTATACATAAAAAATTAATGACGTGGCTAGTTTCACCTCAATTTTTAATGCTATATATTTTATTAGTTTGTTTCAAAAATATTTAACTTGTAGCCGCGTTGACATGGTTCAGACAAACCTCTGTCTCCTTCTCCATTTCTGGAAATAGGGGATAAGAATATTTGTCCACGACTTCCACTAAAGGTGATTTTTCTTTTTGTCTTCTTTTCTTATGATAAAAATGAGTTAGGAATTATTAATTGAAGCATTAGTTCATAGAGATAGTTAGGATTCGGTAAGTTAGTTACGTTTTTACCCTTGCAAGTTGGTTATGTTTGTTAGATGTGTTAGAGGTCAATCAGTGTGTATATATACACAAACATTGTATTGATAATTAAGTTTTTCACATTCTCAATAATATCTTTTCTCTTTTCTCTCGGATTGTTGGTAAAGGCTCAACCTCCATTAATGGAGGAAGGTTATTGTTTTACAGCTTGTGCTGCTGTTTTTATCATGGTATCAGAGCCTGGAGATGCCTCCTACCCCTTTTTCTCATCGTGAGTTTTTGCGTTGATTTTTGTTTCTTTATCGCTTTTCCTCTTTCTGTTTTTTTCCTCTATAAACGATCTCACTGTTGTTTTTCTACTTCGATTTAAGCTTCTTCGATTCGAGTTTGCACATTGTGAGTTTCTATTCTCCCAATTTTTGTAAGCCTTGTCCTTCGTATGTGACTATATTCTTCTTCCCAATCATACTCACATCTTTTTCTATGGGTGACGTTCCAGCTGAAATGACCACTTCCAACACTCTAATTCGATTGGACTTCAAAAGCCCTTTTTACCTGCACCCTTCAAAAAATGCAAGTTCTACCTTGCTTCCTACTGTTTTGGATTAAACTAGCTACATGTCATGGAGACACGTTGTCCTTAGGGCTTTATCTGTTAAAAGTAAAACTAGATTCATCAATGGCAAAGTCGTGAAGCCAGATCCTGCAGATCCAACCTTCATGCAGTGGGAAAGGTGTGATGATATGGTGACTTCTTGGATACTGAATTGTCTTTCACCAGATCTGCGAGATAGCTTGCAATATGTTAACAATGCCAAGGACCTTTGGGAGGTTGGAGGATATATATGATTAGACAAATGGTTGTAAGCTTTATCAACTGCAAAAGGAGATTAATGATCTTGTGCAGGGTGCTCTAGATGTTACTGGTTACTATACTAAAATGAAGAAATTATGGGAGGAGATGAACACTCTTGATGTCAATTCTCAGTGCACTTGTGTGTCTGTGGTGGAAAGATCAAAATACATAAGGCTGAACAAAATAGAAGACTCATACATTTTCTGATGGGTTTGAATGAGATGTTTGTCATACATCGGAACATTCTCATGATGACTACTCTACCAACTATGGCACAATCATTAGCCATACTGTCACAGAAAGAAAGGCAGAGGGAAGTGAAGCCTCTCAATCACATGGCCTTAGAATCCACTTCTCTAAATGCCTCTTCATCACCTCAGCACAATGCAGGATCCAAAAGCTTCAAGGTAAACTACAACTCTCATAGAGGAAATACAGGCAGTTCCAACAACTTCAATAACACCTTTAGGGGAAGTTCCAGCACTGGAAATAGGTCAAATTTTTTCTGTGAGTACTGCAAATGAACTGGACACACCAATGATATGTGTTATAAGCTTCATAGTTATCTAACCAACACAAAATCTCCAAGAGGAAAGGGCTCAGGATCTGCAGCAAATGTGCATGCCTCTGAGGATGATAGGAGCCAGTGTGAGGAAACTATTGAGCAAGGACGACAAATCCCATTGAACCTGTCCAAAAGTCAGTATGAGCAACTACTTAATCTACTTGGAACTCTGCAAGTTGGAGCTGATTGCTCAGGACATGCCAGGTGGATCAGTGAACCTAGCAGGTATACTTGCTTGGTATTCTTCTATAAATGAGATAGGTGATTTGTCATGTAAATGTGTCAGATTGACTGTTGGCTCTTGGATCATAGATTCAGGAGCATCACACCACATGACTTACACAAAAGATTCCCTTACAAACCTTAAAACATTACCCTATCCTTTCCTAATAACTTTACCAAATGGATACACGGTTAAAGTGACTTAAATTGGTGATGTTTGTTTGACTTCTACACTGACTTTGTACAAAGTATTGTTTATACCCAGCTTCAAGTTCAATTTGATATCAGTTCACTGTTTAGCTCTTCAACTCAAAGGAATAGTCAGGTTTAACAACTCTTTTTGTTTACTGCAGGGCCCTTCTCTGAAGAGCCCTCTGGCACTTGGTAAGGCCAAGAATGGTCTGTATATTTTCTGTCCAAAGTGCCACAATTGCCCACCTATAGATGGCAATATTATTTCTTATGTCAGATGTCAACATGTTTCTTCTTTTAACTACTGTAAGACAACTTCTGTTAGAAGTGAATGCCAAGTTCCATCTCAAGATGTAAAATACTTTCATACCATCAATAAAGAAGCTTGTGTTGTAAATCCTATTTCATGTTTTGCTATTAATTCTTCTCCTGGTACTAATTTTACTCACAGTCATGACACCAAATTCTTATGACATGCTAGGTTGGGATATGTACCTTTTGTAAAAATGAAAAGTATATTTGCCATACCTCTAAATTTTTCCAATAAGCAACCTTTCACTTGCACTGTCATCCTCCGAACCTATACCCTGGGCGGGACTGGCACTTGAGAACCATTTCTGCCCCCAAGCGGACCCTTGGCCTGGCTTAACTTATAACGGAAGACTTAAATCATTAATACAAGGATTCAATGCATCTCTACTCAACTTTTTAATAAAATAATTTAGGATGTTTAAAGGTCAAACATTCAACTTGGCCATAGTGGCAACTCAAGTCTTAACATAAGAAATAACAATGTAAGGACAAATGAACTACTAACTGTCTATGAAGGCTCTAAAACAAGGAGGGATGTCGGGACAAGACCCCCGATCATCCTAACAACTAAAATACTAAAGCTAATGATAAATGGGTCCTCCGAAAAGCAAGGAGGCTCACCAACTAACTCTGAGTGCTCAACTGGATCAACGAGGCGCTGGATGCTGATCATGGTTACCTATGTCTGCATCATAAAATGATGCATGCCAAATGACATTAATACATTGAATGTACGGGTATGCGAGGGGAATGCTAAACAAGACATAAGCTTGAAAGGAATCTGAAAAGAACACTTACCTTGGTTTTACTCAACTTATGAATAACTCAACTTAAATGCAAAGTAAAACAACAATAATGGTGCAGTTATACAATGCATTTAAAACATTAATAGTAGCTCAATTTGTTAAAGAAATGCAATAACAACTCAGTTTACATGTAAAATAATAAAATACTGCGGGAGTTTCTCTGACCGACAACTATCACTATGAGCCTAAGTGATGATACAACGTCGTTCCCATGCTGCCAGAACTGTCCTATACTTTGCCGTCATATAAAACGTCTTAACTAAGTGGATCCACTAGTCTATGCTAAAAAGCACTAAGGATTCATCTAATATGTATGATTCTTTCTACCCATGATGACTACATGGTTTATAAAGACTTGAGTTATTATGAACTCGCGTCCCCATATCAGTGCTCAATACTACTCCCAAAATATACTCAGCTCAAATTTTTTAAAAACAAAACTCTTTCTGTGTTTTGAGATAATTACTCAAAACTATCTCAAAGGCTTTCTTGGAAATTGGTGTTCCCTTTTTTACTCAAATGTGAAAACATTTTAACTCCTGGGAATACTTAGTTCCCGTATAATCTTTGAAGAAATGAACTTCAAACTTTACTCTTTACTCAAATCAAAATTCAAGTCTTAAAACAAAGTTAAAATATTCGTAAAAGACTTTTGGAAGACTCTATGAAATTTTCTTGATTTGACTCTTAACTGAACCTTGAAATGAATTATGGATTCAAGGATTGTGATTTGTGATAGGAAAGATCTCATGATGTTTAAGAGTGTTTTTAGATAGTTAAACATGAGAAAAGATCAAGAAATCACTGTCTGAAAGCAAGTCTGAGACGCGGAGATGCATTTAATTATTTGGTCGCGAGATAAATTTTTGAGGCATAACAGTCCGTGACCACTCTGCGACACAAAGAAATTTTTTTCAATTCTGATGAACAGGTTCGCGACGCGGACCTGGTACCCAGATTTGCCCGACTTGTTCCTTCTTCGTTTTCTAACCCCAATTCACCTAAACTCGGTTCTTTTTCTCAAATTTCCTTTAGATTCAGATACCAGTATGTATACACAAGAATCTAACTCAAACAACTCAAGTAAACAACATTTTAACCTCAAGGAACTCCTCAATCTCAACCTAACTCAGGAACGAAGGCTAATTTCAAGAACACCATTCAAGATTCATTAATTAAATTTTAACTTTCTAGAACGTACTTCACTGAAATAAACGTGATAGACGTGTGGGTGAACGAACCCATCACTATGAAAGACTCACATACCTCGTAGGGATTAACCCTTGGGGAAATCCACACACAATTCTCCAAGAAATCGACGATTCCTTGCTTCTTCTCCTCTTTTCTCCTCTTCTCTCAAAACATTAACTCTTTTGCAAAAGCATAAACTGACTAAGTTCAGTTTATACCCCAACTAATTACCAAAAACGAAATTAAAATAATAGGGTATGGAAAAGTCCATAATGCCCTTCTAAAATCCGCTTCAGACTTTCCTTATCCAAACAACCCAACTTGAAATGGGCATATCTCATTCATACGAACTCGGAATTTAGTAAACTCAGCGGCGTTGGAAAGATAATTCCAAGATATTTCCTACGGTATCTGGAAGTACACATAACTCATCCTGAGATAAGAGTTATGGTCGTTTGAAGTTGACCCAAAAACTCAACTTAGCTTAACGAATTTCCAGATTTTTCATTCTTTCCTAAAATGACTCTTTCTAGTTCATTCAAATAGCGAGATGTTACATGCACAATATGTCCAATGGCTAGACAAACTAGTATGCCCTTCCCAGAAAGTACAACCACAACCACTACAACATTTGAACTGCTTCATATTGAGTTATGGGGACCATACCACACACCTACCCATAATGGTCATCATTATTTCTTAACTATGGTGGATGACTATAGTAGGTCAACTTGGACACAACTGCTAAGGTGCAAAAGTAATGCATTGCAGACCATAAAAACGTTCATATCCCTTATAGAAAATTAGTTCCTTACCAAATTGAAAACCATCAGGTTTGACAATGGTATATAATTCACAAGTAATGAAGCAACTAATTTCTTTCAAGAAAAATGTATAATACACCAAAGATCTTGTCCTTACACAGCATAACAAAATGGTGTGGTGGAAAGGAAACACAAATACCTTCTTGAAACAACAAAGGCACTTCTATTCCAATCAAAACTCCCCATAAAGTATTGGGAGAGTGTGTCCTAATTTAAGGAAGTCTGTAGGTGGTTACTTTGTACTTATGGGTGATAGTCCAGTTAGTTGGAAATCTAAGTAACAGGCCACAATGTCTCAAACCTCAGTAGAAGCAGAGTACAGGGCAGTGAGACAAGTAGTAGGTGAATTAGTATGGCTGAAAGATTACTTGATGAACTCTCAGTGAAGTGTTTCTTGATTGTACTTGTCTTTTGTGATAGTCAGGCAGCAGTCCATATTGCCAAGAATCCAGTTTTTCATGAGAGGACTAAACATATCGAAGTGGATTTTCACTTTGTCAGAACCAAGCTTCAACAAGGATTGATTACACTTCATCATATCCCCACAAATTCAGAACTGGCAGATGTCTTTACTAAAGCCTTGACTGGAGTTAAACAAACTACTCTTTTAAGCAAGTTGTCTGTAATTAACTCACCTCCAACTTGAGAGGGAGGGAGGGTGGGGGGTGATAAGAATGAGTTAGAAATTATTAATTGAGGCATTTGTTCATAGAGTTAGTTAGGATTCAGTAAGTTAGTTACGTTTTTACCTTTGCAAGTTGGTTATGTTTGTTAGATGTGTCAGAGGTCAATCAGTGTGTATATATACACAAACATTGTATTGATTAATTCAATTTTTCACATTATCAATAATATCTTTTCTCTTTTCTCTCTGATTGTTAGTGAAAGCTCAACCTCCATTAATGGAGGAAGGTTATTGCTTCGCAGCTTGTGCTGCTGTTTATGTCATCTTCTATTTTGCCGGCAAAGATGTAACATTACCATGTTTATCTAAATATAATAGATGTATCCCTATCTTCTTTACTCTACCTTTGTCAGGGCCTTACTCGACTGTTATCTTTTCCCGACCTTTGATCTTCAGGCCATTAAAAGGTC